TTAGAAAAGTCTTAGAATTGCACCTATCAGAACTAAACAATAACTAAAACGAATAACTGCTAATAGACTATCAACTTTATCGTCTTAGGACAGCGTTTAAATTGTATTGTGATGACTTGGTCAGTGTGTCTTAGTCTGCAGTTTGTCTCAGGTCATTGTGGCCGCCAGACAAAGGTGTTGGCTGTTTGTTTACACCTATATAGTAACGAGTTATAATTGCTGCAGTATCGACTGACACTCTATGTTTATATTATTGTTTGATGTTCTGTCTCTAAACGAAAAAACACTACTCATCTTATATATTTTACTACCTCTATTTTATAAAGCGGAAGAGTTTGTTTTTTTGTTTGTTTGACCGCGCTAATGTCCGTAACTACAAGTTTGATTAGAATAATTATTTTTGTGTCAGATAGCGCATTTATCGAGGATGGCTATAGGCTATAAAACATCACGCTACAATCAATAGGAGCTGAGCAGAGCGTGTGAAACCACGCGGAAGTAGCTAGTTTCTGATATTGCCGTTCTATAATCTCAGTGTTTACATTTTTTTGTCCCACAGTAGGATTTTCTCCTATGTCATGGGTGCGTTTACAAACATATGAGTTCATATACACATAACACTCAGACCAGGAACAACAGTCTGTGGATCACACAAAGAGCTGCTGCGTGCGGGAATCGAACCCGCGACACGTTGTGCGGCAGCTAGTTGCCCAGCCACCGTGCAATTAGATTCTCGGAGCTAAACGGCTAAGTTATTTCGACTGACAGAAAAAAAAACTTACAATAATTAAATGGGTTTGATATAAATTTTGACATGAGTCACTGTCCATCTTGTACATTGGGTTTTTCTTTCTCTCAATGTAATTTGAATCGTAGCTCAGTTTAGACAAAGTTGTTTATTAATTATATTTCATAAATAATGAGGGTATTATTTTTTCCTTTTTATAGCTAAATGTCTCTTCCTTTTAATCATTTCATACGCAAACAAGATTATATAATCTTGGGTCGTACTAGAACTCTACAATCGATTTTGGTTGATGCATATCGATTTACACCTGCATCGATTTACTCGAGTATGTTATGTTTATCAAATTGAGTCGAGTACCTTCAAAACATGAAGTATAAGCAACGGCAGTCTTATGTCTAGACAGACGCTCTGAATTAGTTGATGCAAATTGATTAGGTAATTATAGTGTCTATAGTAGATAATAATATCTATTAAAAAATGGTAATAATTACTTGTTCGTAATTGTTTAATTAATTACACAAACACAAATAATTAGTAAACATTATTTGTGTAACATTGTTTTTTTTATTCCTTTATTAATAAATAAATTAACAAGTTAATTGTTTTATATTGGAATAAATCGTCTAAGTACATAAATTATAATCCAATATATTAAGACATAACTGCATAGGTGCATGTCTGTGTATAATTAAAACGTAATTATACTTAATGTTATAATTATTATAATTTATGAATCAGAAGTTATGTTTTTTTTTAATTTGTCGTCAAGTACAATACGGCTATTTCTTTCTTTTCTAAGAAGGGGTTTCTCATAATACCCACGCTTGGCAGGTACCATATGATCCATTTCATTTAACAAAATATCTATAAACTTATGTTTTATTTTATATTTATATAGATACAAATTATTATTAATTTATTTATTAACATCATTTGTAATTATTGTAAATAAACAGTACGTATTATTTATTACAGTACGAACTATTTATCGTTTTATGTTAATATTCTCTAATATTTTAATTTTATTTAATTACAGTTAAACCCAATTATTTTATTTAATCAATTTTAAACTCAAAATTACTTGATAAATATTTAACTAAGTTATTTAATCAAAATTACAATTTAACAAAATATCAATTATTTGATCAAAATTAAAATAAAATTATTTGATCATATTTAAAGTTTAAGAACCAATATTACTGCACCAAGAAGTCACAGTAAAATTTTTGAATCAAAACAAAATTAAATTATTTGTTTAAAGATAATGTTCAATTTTATTTAAACTGTCAAACACCAAGCGGTCACCGGTGACCGCAACCTATTGTTCTTTAATTGTGCCTATAATGACAGTACTCAACGAGTTAATGATTATTCACTAAAATGAGAGCCCTGTAAATGTATGCTCAGATTTTTAAAACAATTGTTTTAAAATTATTATTTAAACTTTTTTTAAAGGAAGAATAAATAACGAAGTCATAATATTTAAATAATAAATGGCATGATCAACCTGACTATGCGTACAGGGATGCATGCACACCAGTTCCAATGCACTTTTACACACAGCCTTGTGTATACAAACGCGTATGCACATATACGCACGCTAGCATCTGATCCACATGTGTGCAAGTGAGTACATGCACACGGATTAATGTGTGCATGTATGTACCCACATGCACACGGATTAATGTGTGCATGCATGGACCCAAATGCACGCGGATTAATGTGTACGTGCAAGTACCTACATGCACACGGTGTAATATGTGCGTGCATGGACCCAAATGCACGCGGATTAATACACACGTACATACGTGCAAGTACCTACATGCACACGGATTAATGTGTGCATGCATGCACCTACATGCATCCGGATTAATATGTGCATGCAAGTACCCACATGCACACAGATTAATATGTGCATGCAAGTACCCACATGCACACAGATTAATATGTGCATGCAAGTACCCACATGCACACGGATAAATGAGTGCAGGAAAGTACTTACATGCACATGAGATTATGTGTGCAAGTGAGTACCTGAACTCGGGTGTGTGTGCAAACTTGAACATGCACACAGATTTGTGTGCATGCAAGTAATAGATGCACACTGATTGGTGTGCAAGTGATAAATTATACGTGGCAATGTGTGCAATTGGGTACTTGCACTAAGTTCCTGCACAAACGTGCATGCGCTATAAAGTACATGCGCAAATGAGTAACTGCGTGCACAACCAAGTTATGCAACTTGTGCATGTGCACATTTAGCATGACTGTTAATCACCAAGTCAAAGTCAAAATCAAATCACCGTCACGTTTTGCTCATCACAGTTAAAATAAAAATTTGACTTTGGGTAGAAGTACGCTTTTTCCGGGAATGCCTATGACATTTTAATATGTAAATGTAAAGTATTGCGGGCAGTACAAAAATATTGATTGTAATTAATATTCCTATTCGCAATGAACACCAGACAAATATTTCAAGTCCAAAAACTTATTTTCCTTGTGGGAATCGAACCCACAATATTGCATACACTCCACATTCAGACTCGGAATCAATGTCACATAATTAATTGTAAAATTACAATCAATATTTCAATGCGGGAGTCGAACCCATAATATTTTAATAATTTGAATACACATTCGCTTCGGATTTTTTTTTCACGGGAATCGAACCCACAATATTTTTTTAAATTCAATTTTCATTCATACACACCACATTCAGACTCACCAAAAAAATTACGTTCGCATCGAATTTAGAGTCAAAGTCGATAATTTTTTTTTAAAGTCGAAAAAATTTTTTTCTTTGTGGGAATCAAACCCGCAAAATTTTAAAAATCTCATTCGCGTCGCCTTTGCAATGAAAATCTATACGATTTTTTTTTTAAGTTGAAAATATTATTTTCTTTCAGGAATCGAACCCATAATATTTTAAGCAACCAATTTTGACTTCACTCCAAGTAAGAATTAGTTTAAAATATTCTGTAGGAAAAATAAAAATATTTCTTGCTATATTCGAACTCGTATAGCGTCGAATCTTCTTTCCTAGACCAGTTAATTAATATTTTTAATTTTCGATTTCGAAATTCGCTATTTTGAGACTTAGAACACAACTGTTAAAAATTCAGCCCTTGATTTCCTCCGACGACTGCAGAAATACCTAACATTTTTTATTTTACAAGTCCGCAGACAGATAAAATAATAAAAAGAAAATTACAATTAAAAAAATGTCGCTAATATTTCAAGTATTTGCTTGGCGCGGCGCGGAAATTATATTGTAAAATAAACTGTTTAACTTAGCGGTTAAAGATCAATTTGAGTATTTTCCGAGCCCTCCCGCGACAGACGCTGGGGAGTTAGAGAGCGGGGTGGAAAAGCCGAGTAAATTACAGGCAGTTAGAGTTCCCGGTGAGCTGTGTCTGGCCGGTCGCGAACGCGCGCCGTATTTTAAGTCACTGTGCGTGAAATCGTGTCTCGCGTTGTGGACTCCGAATAATTTTCAACTAAATAATTTTATCGACATATATTTTTTCGGAAATTTATTTTTCTTTTAAATTTATTGTTGTAAGTCGGATTTTGTTTTTGAAATTTGAATCAGACTTATGATTTTCTATTCCAAGTTATTTTTTAATAATCCTGTTTTTATCGAAGTGTATTTTTAATATGTATTAATTGTTCAATGTTGAATTTTGTTTTTTAATTTTTTATCCAACATATGGTTTAAATTTTTGAGAAACTCGGAGTCGCCAATCTTCTTTATTTTTTTTAAACTGGTGTTTGAAAATCCCTACATCGTCGGAAGAATACTCTGTTTGCGAATATTTAATTTAAGGTGAGTGCTTGTATTATTTTTAAGTATTAGCACTTAGTTTTGCAGTAAAGGAAAGTTTTAAAAATTTTCTAAGTTCGAAATTGGACTTAGGAAAAATTAGCAAGAGCTCAAAATTATTAAGTCGCTTCGCCAATCACTCGCGAACTTTGTTTTTATGCCAGCAAAAATACAGGAGAATTATTCTCCTGTTCGAAAGTCTTCGCTAGGAGTAAAATACAATTTCTCATTTTCCCCTGTAAACTCACAAAATTTTATGTTAAAATTCGCAAATAATAAGAAATTAAACAAAAATAAATTATATACGGTCGCTAAAAATTGGAAATGTAAAAATTATAAAACATAAAATAAAATAATGATAACTGAAAAAAAAATCCTGAAATAGAAAAAACCAAATAAAATTAAAACAGCGATAAAAAGTCCACTTACTTTTAATTCTGCTACCACCGGACTGGAAACTACATTTTTTACGCGAAATTAACCCGGATATTTTTATTGATTTTTTTTCGAATAGGAATTTTTTTTGTATGAAAACTGAAGGAGAGAGAACCGGAGAGGAGCGCGGCGCGACCGCTCGCTGCGAGGTACAGGCGATTACTGTTTTCCCGACCGTGGCACAAACGTCTTGCTAGTAGGAGATCCGGCGATCTACTGAAATTCCCTCTCTCCTGACTGGATTTTTATACAGCCCGGGAGTGGGCTGGGATCTGCGCAATGCGCAGAAGGATTATCGTCCAAGGGGATGGTTGCGTTCGGGAAATATGAGAGGGGCAAAAGTTCTCTCATCCCGTTCTATCAATTTTCTAGAATGTTCTCCGACGCTTAACGTTTTGTCTAATATCTTTCTATAAAATTCATCTGGAGGCAGAAAAAATCGATAGAAATTAGGAAAATATATAAAGTTTCTAATTGTATGGTAAAAAAATGCGAAATATGATGGAAAATACGGAAATTAAAAATTTTAAAGTATCATTTTCAACCACGAGGTTCCTGGCTTCGGAGAAAATTCGGGATGCTTGCTATCCTGCTCTTCCCTCCCCCCACGCACCCCAGCCCCGGAAAACGCCCATTTGAAGCTGCACGGGAAATTGAACCTTATGAATAATATTTATCGAATATTAAAATATATTAAAAAACATTTTATCTTTAAAAAAATATCCAAATTCTAAATAAAATGCATTGACAGTAACTTGACAACAGTTGTTAACGGAAAAATTGATATTATTCGGAAAATTGGTTTGTTACTACGAAACCACATTCATGAACTTAGTCTCCGGACGACTAAGTCCGTGAAACTACGTGAAAACTGTGCTCAAATAAGTTATTTCGGTAATCGTAATAAGGTGTAACAATCGTGTGAAAAATTACGAAGTTTCGGCTAAAAAATCGGGAGTTTTAACAAAGTTTCGTGAAATTCAACTTGCCGTCGGCAAGTGAAATGTGTCTGAAAAACTGTGATAAAACAATTTTCTGAGTTAAATTACTATTTAGTCGCTACATATAGTCATTTTGCATTAAATAACTGTGTTTTTATTCAGTTTTAAAGTGAGATTTCCATAAAAAATTAACAAAAAGGCTAATTTCAGTGACGGACTGTATTATTTCGTCAAAATAAAATACTTATAATCAGTTTAAAAAGTTTATATGAGTGTAAAAATCACGAAAAATGTATATAACGCCTTAAAAGTGACATAAAACGTGTTAAAATATTGTTATTTAAAAGTTATGGTGTTTCGATCATTCATGTAGTTATTGAGGTAGCCGACGGCAAAAAATATTTTCATTATTGACAGAAAATTCGTGTGAAATAGTGCAAAATAATGATTTTTAACAACTTTGAAGTGTATCTTTATGTGTCTGTGTAGTTGAAGTCGTGTTACAATTGTTTGATTAATGTTACATCCACGTTGTTACTTATTGCTCAACGGTGGTTGTGTAAAAATAATATTAAAGTATAAAAGTGGACAGTTTTCGTAGATATTAGATTACTGAAGTTGTAAAATACAGATTATAATGGTAAGTTGTAATTATTTATTAAAAGCTAGATAAATTATGGTTCTAAGTAGTTTATTTTGGTATATAATTATAAGATTTCATGTTAAATTAATGTTTCATGAAAAAATAGACAAATATGTACTTTTATTTTCCTAAACTACTCACACAGCGTGTTATTTAAGATAAATAGAGAAAGTTTTTATTAAAATTTGTTACTGTTAGTTAGTTTATTTTCAGTTACTAGTTAACGACGAGCATGCATGAAAAGATTGATGACTGTTAATGAAGCGAAAGAGGTATATAAGAATCGTAGTAATTGGCGTTCCTTAGTCTCTGCCTACCCCCATGGGAGACAGGCGTGAAGTTATGTATGTATGTATGTTACTAGTTAATTTGCACGTTGGAAGTCATATTAACCGTCAAAAATAAAAATAAAACTAAAATAACACCGTTTGTCACCAAACAACAATTATTTCTTAGTTTTCTATAACTAAAACGTGTTTACAAATATTTAATACCCCCTTAACACCTCTATTAAGATGATTATTATCACGACGAGCTATGATTTTAATTAATTTACAAGTTTCACCAAAACTTTCAACAATATCCCCAGTGTTTAAAGAGTTTTCATTCTAAAACGAACATGTTTGGTTATCGGAATCTTACAAGTTGTTTTTGCGACTGGCATGAAATCGCGCACAAGGGGGTGAGGCAACCACCCCAAAACTGGGTCAATGAACGCTCAACATAACCTCAAAATCAAAACATTGCTCTTAAAAACACATTTGACTGAGAAAACCGGACACTGACAGGCTGTTACATACTAAAAATAGTCAAAATATATCACCTTTTACTAATAGTAACGAATCAAACAAGGTAATTGTCAAAAACACCGCACAAAATGGATTTTGATAGACCAAACGCTACAAAACAACAAAGCAACGATGTAATGAGAACAAAGGCAGGAAAATTAGAGAAAATGAATGCAATACTCACTAATGTGGGTTTGATAACACGTCCTGAAAGGGAAAATCACACTAAACTGAATTTAACAAGCCGAGAAAAGCAGATCCGAACGTAGCAACATGGCAGCCGCGCGATTATGTCAAAGTGTAGTGGAGCCAGCGCGGGGGATGAGAGCCAGTGTCGCTCAGACTTTTGTTGAGCACGGACGTACGTCGCAACACCACACGACCACGAAAACTATTACGAAAAACCCCATTTCTCGCCATGTCACGCGTCCTAGCCACGTTTTAACGACAAAAAAGAAGAAAAGAGGTCGTGTTCTGCTAAAAAAATGTTCTAAACTCACTTTTTTGACTTGATTTTGTTTGTTTTCTGAGAGGTAAGCTACCTGTTGCTGCTCCAAGTTATATTGAACCTGAAACCTTTTCAGTTTCTTCGTTTTTTCAGCGGCGTTCGGTAACCAAGTTGCCATAAACGTTTTTTAAACAAAAGGAACACATTTGGAGTTACTTGTAGTTTTTTTTTGTATTTCTTTTAATTGTTGCACTACTAGTGCTTCGGCCTTCAGAAGTTGAAAGTTAAAAGAAATGCTTTTTCAATGAAGGCAGTTCTTTTGTGACCGAATTAGCTCCGTACAATGTTCCTTCTAGATTGTTTGTCGACTTGAAAACGTAATTGTTTGTGAAAAACAAAGCACTCGTTTCTTGGAGCAAAACAGGTTCCTTACCTACCCCTGTGATTGCGAAACTATGACCTGGAACCATGTCAATAACTTGTTACTGTTGTTTATGTTGTATGTGTTGTTTAAATATACTAAATTAAACTAAATGATACTGTTTACTCATTTCTAGATCACCTCTTGCTGTAACATCAAAAAATTAATGCAATTATTAAGAAAAAACTGAATCTTTATGAAAATAGTTGTAACGTCAATGTAACAGGAAAATGTTTAGGCCTAGCCTAGAAACGATAATCTTGGAATAATTGATGTCGTATTAAATTATTATTCAAAGCATAACTCTGCTCTATGTGTGTGTTTTGTGAGAAATAATTAGCATTTTCTCAGTTTTTCGATCATTTAAACTTTTCTTGTATGAATGCATGAACATTGATTGTTATGGTACTTGCAATACTTAGTAAATACTGATAAAATATACGTAAAAGTATATATTATTGTAATATATACCACCAAATATTATTTGAATACGATTTTAATTCATAATTTTTATTATTTTAGTAGTTTGAGTCGAATTTGTCTCGGAGGCGATCGAAGTTCATGACCCATTCGTCAGTTTGCCGCCGGCAAAAGTTCGGGCGATTAAAAAACTACTTTAGAGTAATAATTGTCTCGAAATTTGTTACGTATCTCATAATATGGTTTATATATACCTTAAAAATCTGGAAACCAAATCGAAAAATAATCACATTAAATGCTGAGACGAAAAATAGTAGAGATGGGTGTCTACGAGAAACAGTTTTATAATAATTTTGTTTTGGCATTTTTATAATACGATTTGTGAGTGTATGTTATTAATTGTTATTGTTAATGTTAAATAAAGTGTTCTCTATTATCAAATTTATTTAATTTAGGTCCTTTCAAAATAGTTTTTTCTTGAAGTTATAATTTATGCATTGAATACCTGCCGGGTTTATGGGGAACATTGTGAGTGGAGCCTACAATATTAAGCACACGAATTTGAAGTCGGCCTTTCCATTTTGATATTCTCGTTCGTACACATAAATTACTGTGCTTATTTTGGAAAAGTATTGTGGGTCACAACACTCTTTTCCGCAGCGACAATACACTTTGATTTTTAATTAATGTTACGGATAAAATGTATGTATCGCGCAATATGTTTTATTGACATCTTAAAAATTTGAAAACTAAATCGGTACATAATTTAATTAAGTACAGAGATGAAAAACAATTGAGATGCTTATGTACATACGTAGAGAGAAAGTTCAAAACTCTGAAAAATGCATGATACAATAAAATTATTTTTGAAATGATTCCATAGAACTTCATTTCATAACAAAATGTAGTGTTTTTTGTATAGCGAGTAGATGTAGAAGATGTATCGCTTAATGTCTAGCATTGGCCACGGAACCGGCTTTTGGTTCTTCGGAAACCTCATACAGGGGGCAACACACAATGCAATCGTTGTTTCACGCCAGTTTTCTGTAAAGTACCTCCATTACAACTGGTCAATTCGTGCTGAAGCCCCGGCTCCCTACGTATAAAAATCTAAACAAGAGGTAGTTAAAAGTGATATTTGTATAAGACATTATTAATTATAGTCAGATATGGGGATCGTAGTAACTATTTAAATAAACGGTAATTGGACTGAAATTAAACTTCAATTATATTCTGTTTGTCGGTAATCGTACTCATCGCAATTTGTATACTAGAGAAAACTAGTTTAAAGTTAATTATTGTTTCAAAAATATTTACGCATCTCATAGTATGATTTATTGTCATTTTAAAAATCTGGAAACTAAATAGAAATGTAATTGCATTTCTTGTAAAAATGAGATACAATAGAGAGATGCGTGCATTGGTCGCGTTCCGTATCGCCTGTGACGTATCTTTGTTTCCCATGAACATGGGTCTTTGGTATCGTCTGATATTAGTTGAATCACCTCGCCGTATACAAT